TGTGGATATCAGGAGCCACATGTAGATGTTGCCTCAATTACAAGTTCACTCTTGATAAACCTATTAAGCAATGATTTCAACAAAGTGTACAAACTAAGACTCATGAATGGCAGCATAGGTCTATCAGTCTGAAATGCTGTGAGAAAAGGATTGATCTGTTTTGCCACTGATGCGAAGAAGGCGATCTTTGCAGGCATCAAGGGATCACAGCAACTACCGCTGATGGTCTCATAAGATTTGGATTTGGGATCAGTAACTTTCTTTGCCTTAACAGCATTAACATATTTGACAATATGAGGCCACACTTCAAGTGCTCGCTCGGCAACTGACACATTCTCCAGCCACCGGTGCTGGCAGAATTTCAGGGGGAATACACTGCTACCAGTTACTTTAATGTAGTCTTCTCTTCGAGCCGGACTGTCTTTAAACAGCCAGTAAAGACTTGAAAGAGTTTTCTGCACCGTCCATCCAGCTGCATCACAACCATCCTTAAAAGCTCCATGCACAATATGTATACCACAACTCCCTGTGTTAAGGAGAGTGCAACTGTAATCCCTCTTCAATTCTTGCTCTACCATTTCATAAAATTTCCAGTTCACCTTAGGCCCATCCATAGAGAGTTGAATTAAATTTCTACAGCTCAAGTCCTCTTTGCAAGAATGAAACTTTTCAAGCATATCTTCTGCACTGGCATGCCCAAGAAATTGTGAATCATAATAGCGAGTTTCAACTTTGTCATGATTCCAAATGCGAACATGGAAATCCATCTGCTTCTTTTGCAGTTCATGATTCAAACTTTCATCAAACAAAAGCACATATCCATTTGAAGATTTGACTTTCTCCTTCAGAAGACTCTTGAAATGTGGTGCAATACCAAAGCAAGAAAGGTAAGAAGCCTTTTTCTCCCCACAGGTAAATTTCTTTGCAATGTCACTGTCTGGAAACATTTGCTGCACTAAGAAGTTTATATCTGCACAGGAATTGTAGGAATAATGACTGCTATTCACCTTTAGGGCCCACCAAACTTCTGCAGTTAAAGTATCATTCCTTGTCACGAACCCCGACATACCTGCTGTTGTACTAGCACCACTACTTGATACAGTCAAAGTAGAGTTACTACTTTCAGTAGCTTTTCGAGGGGCAGTGGAAGAGCAGTTCGACAAAAGGTTTCTTATGTCGCCGGTTGTATTTCTTTGTTGCGTTTCCATAAGATAAATATGCTTCTTTCCCTTTTCGTGGCTTTTCAACGCCGATTCTCCCATGTTTGATACATCAAACGCCTTCATACAAACTTTGCATTTTGCTTTAAACTTGTCAACGTCACGTTCCAGCCACAATTTATAGGAAGCGTTTTCTAACCATCGGTCACTAAAGAAGCATTTCCCAGGCATATTTCGGAATAAAAACGTTTAAAACTAAAGACGCCCATGTACTGATTAGATGTTACAATTCTCCAAGTTACAAAATCATGCATGTATCAAGGTTACTACTGCGCATGAGCTTATGATGATACACGAGCCTTCTATCCATTGTTATACTCGAGCCCGCATGTTATCTAGTCAGTGACAAGATCAGAAGGGACTTTGTAATGAGAAAAAACACGAAAGAGAAATAGTTATGCGGTCAAAACCATAAACGCGAACGATTTAATAATACTCAAGAACATTTGCTCATTTTACTTTTTTGTGAAAATTTTATTACTTTATTCAGTTTAACAGATTTCCAGGACTTTCCAGGACCAGCAGTATTTTTCCAGGACTTTCCAGTCCTGGAAAATGTGATAATAAAATTCCAGGACTTTCCAGGATTTCCAGGACCCGTACGAACCCTGCTTGTACTAATTGGGCTTGCATCTTGGTCATGCTATCAAATAAAAACAATTAATATAATAATTGAAAGCAAACATGCCCCTATCTCGAGACCTTTCATCTAAAACAAGTATTCAGATTTCAAATGCTAGTCTTCTCCCAAGCTTTAAAAAAACACGGTTTCTGTAACATACGGCTTGATGATATTTTTCCAATCAGTGGATGTGTCATCAAATATAATAAACAGCAAAGTTCCTTAACATCATTCCCAAACATCATCCCAAGATCAATAGTAGATCGCAAGGACTATACACGAAAATTTCTTGTTTTAAAGGAAAATCATTATTTTGACACAACTTCAAATTAGGCATGACGGATCAACCATGACAATCCAAACAAACAATATACCAAACCAAACGAAAACAAAAAACAAAACAAAAAAAGTAAGTGTTTTATGCTGTTCTTCAGTAACACTGTGAAATTTAACAAGTAGTATATATCACGGCCTACATTATAGAGTTGAGGTTACATGCGGGAGGTTGCTAAGCACGAAAGAAGGGTAAGAGTCAAGTGGGGCGGTAACCAGGGGGGACTCTAGTTTCTTGAGTGCTTTGCAAACCTCCCAAGCGCATCCATAATGAGTAAGGGCAGAATACCCTGCCACTCATTTACAAGTCATTGAATACGAATGGCCTCTATTGTGAAAAACGAAGATAACACAATGGACGCTATTCTTATTCAATGACATGTAAATGAGTGGCAGGGTATTCTGCAGTTTAGCTCCAGAAAAAAAAACAAGCATTAAGCAGTATACACCCATGGGCAAATGGTGGACACTTACTTGACCGAATCGAGCGCGCGCTGTGCTTTGGTTATGTTATAATATAAATTAGTTTCCATGGATCGGCGAAAGCTTGGAAATTTAGTCTTTACTTTTTCGGTGGCTTATGCTCTTAAGAGTTTATAAAAAATGTTTAATCTGTTATGATCAACCAATTTTATAAAAAAAAAAGTATGGGATCTGCAAGCCCCTGAATAAGTTCGCTTATATTTCATTGGTTTTTCCTTCTCAAGTTTATAACATATTCCCGAAATATCTTTGGTGTTTATGGGTTTTCTGAGCTTCACAGTGACATGTTTTCACGTAAGTTTTGAACATGGTTACTACCTGAATGTCACAACCTATTTGTTAATCAATGACTAACTTTTAACAACTAACAAAAGAAAATCAGTTGCTTACCTCTTCACCAGTACAGTTGTGCTTGATCCTCTGAACTGTGGGCTGCCTGTTGAAATCCTCATCCAATGTTACTCTTGAATACTCCTTATAACAACACTTGGGGGCTGTTGGTTGTGCAACAGGAAGCTCCTGGAATTCAGAGAGTTTTTGCAAGGAAAATAATTCATTTTATCTGAACAACCTAGAAAACAATTACATCTTAATTCATAAGCTATTTAGAGGCAAACAAATCCAAGTTTGCTTGGCAAGGAACATTTCAATAACTTCTTTGATTTCCTGCTCAACATTTTGGTAGAAATTGCAAACTGATACAGGCGTATCCAAAAGGACCTTCAAACTGATACAGGCGTAACCAAAATGACCTTCAAAACAGAATACTAAATTTGGCCAGAACAATTACCTCTCAACAAAGCGAGCCGGGGTCTTCTCATTGCTAATGGAGATTGTTGTCACCATCTGGCTCTCTCCAGCCCCCTTCCTTCCTTCGCTTTTCTCACTCAGATTTCAAACACCTTTCTTTGATTTCCCAATCAAAGTCCTCTCTCTCTCCCCTCTTCCCGCTATTCCACTTCAAGCAAGAAAATGTCAGATAGCTCCACTAACTTTCTGCCGTAGTTTCTGTTCATCTTAGAAATGTTGATCAAGATTTTTTCCTGCATTATAGTAACAGATATCACAGACCTTTGAAATCTTGTGGTCTCCACCAAATTGGAGCTCAATCCTGAACCAGTAAACCCTGAATGATAAGTTGACTCCTTTATAAAGATGCATATAGTCCCATTTTGTGGTATTCCTGGCTCTCTTGGACTAAGTGCCAATTAAGTCATTTGTTCAGATATTAGGAGTTAATTACTATGAGTTAAAGTCACTGTCTGCATGAGCTAGCATTTGCTCAAATTAACTGGATGAAGGTCCAGGTAGAAGTCCATAATTAACACAGAGTGGTAACTCTATGGGTTTTGTTTACCAGTGTTTCATAATGGTACTACTTGTTTGGCTGGATATTTTACGCCAATGTACTCTATTCATTTACATTGTAAAAGTCAATTTAATTATTGTAGTTTATTGCAAGGTTTGAAAGTAGCTGGCTAAAGGTGGTTGACTGGCCGGTAGTTTGAGTCACCTGGCGGCTCCGACTGCCAGCTCTGCTTCAGCTGTATGTGCTCATGACTCAAAAACGAGTTTGGTGAACCAAATTGATAACTTCTGAACTGAATGCAACATGTCCCTATTCATTTTCATACTACTGATCCAGTACCACCTTTAATCTGCAATTGCAAAATTTAAGTGGGTCTAACCACAATAATTATCCTTGTTTGATCTGTTTGTTGATATTCCATCATGAAACCCATTTTAAGATACGGCTGAACAAAGCTATTCAAAACTTAAGTGGGCTATTTGCCAACATACACACACACACAGCGGGCAAATATGTCTAGCAGCCCCAACTCCACATCTCCTAGTTTTTTTCTTAATATTTCTCTCTTTAACTCTTTCTCTGTATGCTCCCTAATTCTGTGCAAGCTAGAGAAAATGTTTTGAGGAGCCCTAATCAAAACTGCATAATTCACATGTGGCTGGTACCGCACTATGTCTTGTTACTTAGGACAAATATAACCTATAAATATAACATGAGCATACACTTGATCTCAATTATCCTTTGCATTCTACATTCCTTCAAATATAATTAATAAGCCCTCCTCTTTCCTAGGGAAACATAAATTATCATTTCAGGAAATGTATCAAATAATGAAGTAAAATTAAGTAGTTACTTTGGTTGGAAAATACAAGCGGACCAAGCTAAGTGAGTTTCACAAAAGTACACAGTTAATCAAATCCTTGCTTTATAGTGAAAGTGTGATCTCCACTACATGAGAGTGATCACCTCTACCTCTGTCACCTTGAGTGATAACAATTAAAATATGATATGCTTTGTCAATCATTTCTCAGGAAGGGGGAGATTATCACACAAAAGCAATGTATGTGATTGACTGTTAAAGTATAAGAGACTACTTCAGGTATGACTTGATGATTTCACACGATAGATGTACCCCTACTTGAACAATGTCAGACTTTGCCATTTTCAGGCTGTACTATATGGCTACAGACCTTGGAGGACTATTTACTTTGGGGGAAAAAGGAATGCAGGCAGGATGGGCAAAGTAATCTGGAAAAAAAATACATACATACTGTTCAGACATAATTACCTGAAGACAGCCATAAAAGATCTTACAATTATAGTAATGCTTCACCCATAACTTGAATTTGAGGTGGATGATCACAATTAAAAACACTGACGACCATAGGGAAGTGGAAGCTAAGGTAACTACGAAAAGAGCCATTCCAGTTCTGCCATTCAGTGACAATGGGGCATGGGATTTCTGGAGCTAGTTGAATTGTAACAAACTTACACGTTGCCCTGAATGAGCCTGACAATACACTGCAAGTGGATCTTGTGGGAGCATGGTAAAACCTGTAAACCACTGAATGAGTCCTGCAAATGCACATGAGAACAACTTAAGAGAACATTGTTCTTACTTAAAAATAGTTATCTTAGGTTCTTTGTAAATAAGAACTAAATTAAATGAAACAATGAATGTGTAATATCAAATTTAAGTTCTTTTGAGTTCAAGTCTTGGCTCCTCCACTTGAAGAGGATAACCCTAGCACATACTCCAGGAAGCCATTAATTTGTCCTTGCAGTATCTGTACATTTTAATATAGACAATTGGAAAGTAGAATGTCAACAAATGAATTTTGTCTGATCAAACACTACATTTTCTGAAAGCTCATATTAATAGAGAACTGTGTCAGACAGTTTAGAGAATTCGTATTTTGATCTTAGGAGTGCAACTGTTTGACCCTGCAACTATAAGATTGACGATTACATTAAGGACAAAGTGGAAGCATGCTTTCTCAAACCACTAGGAGGGGACAAAAAAGATATGAAAGACTTTGTAGGTGGAGTTACACTGTACATGATAGTAAATAACAGGAGTTGGAGTTAAAGAAGAGAGAATCAGAGAGCAAGGATCTATTATGTCCTCTCAGCTAAAAAATCATTGATCCATGATTATTAAGAAATTACCTGCAGGCATACACTGCACTTGTCATGGCCACCCTGTGGTCTAACCCTGCAAGGTCCACTGGAAGAAAGGCAAATAAAATAAAGCTAAAATAAAACTAGAAAATGCAAAAATGACCCCCAACTTACTGATGAATAATTGGAAGATGACATCAATGTTACTGTTTGGGGTTGTACTGGGTAATTTGCAGTGCTAAAAGTTAGAGCATGTCATTACCTTTCAAAGAATAAAATTTTAAACTTTTGATATGTTGGTCAGAGTTGTAATCAAATTTGAAATGAGAATGCATTATAGAATACATAGTGCTCATGAATGGTGAATTTAATAACAAAATACACTTGTGTATGGATTTCTGAGAGGGTGACACTTTTTGGTGTGGCTCAATTGTGAAGCTGTTTCACATTTTCATCTACCAACCTGTATGTACACTTTATGCACCAACTACCTGTATGAGACCAGCACTTTTGCTTATAAAAAAGCCTTACAAGGATAAGACTTTGCTCAGACCATGCCCACCTGGCTTGAAAGCACACTTTAGCTTTTGCTGCTTCAATCCCTTCTAACCAAGCCTGAGGGCTGTTGTGAGTAGAGTTTAATGACTCCACTACAAAAGGACCATAAGTGGTTGTTGGCAGCCCTCCTCCTGCTCCAGTTTCTCTCTCCTACAGGGGAAACAAAGATTTTACAACCCAAATCTCCCAATTCACCTGCAAAAATTAATTACCTCTGATTGCAAATGACTACAGTCTTTCCCCTCATTTCTTATTGTCTGGCCATACATGTCCCTTTATTTGCTAAATCTTGTATCACCAAAATGGTAATTAACCCTTTTAAAAAATTGCAGCCGAATTTATACAATAGGTATACAAATGTTCATTAAAGTATGTCTCAGAGACATTATGTACACACAATACACAAACATACAATAGATTGAATTAAAGTGTACACATTTAAAAAACAAAAACCGTATCAAATAGACAAAAAAAGTACACAACGACCTTGCAGCACAGCATGTAACAAAAGAGGGTACTACCAGATATGCACTATGCCTTAATGAATACAGTCACCAACAGATATTGAAAGTTATCAAAATAATTAGATATCTTTATCAAATGACAACCAATATGTTAGCTCTGAGGGCAAAGAATTAAACTCAACTCAATACCTGCCCAGTCTTTTTCAAGTTTAAGTCTTCCATAAATTTTATTTGGAGCTTTTTACAAGGTAAAAATACTTAATATGAAGTAAAAACCATAAAAATTTTACACTAGATCATCAGGTTAAATAAATGTACAAAAAGCATACTAAAAAGTATACTTTTGGTATAAATAGGCATGTTCAACACTATCTATAGTATTCCATTTTGAAATTTTTACATGAATTGTCAAATAGTGACCTTGAAAAAAGTGACTTGCGACAGTGGAAAGTGTATCCTAGTAAATTCTTCACCACAACAGGTTACAAAATTTCTGGAAAAGCAGACATAAATTGCCAACCTGTAATTTTCCTACCACCCTCATAAAATAATGAAAATAATGTCCTATAACAATTAAAAACAATATGTAAATAAAAACATGTCATCACCTCCCGTTGATGATGACAATAATAACTGGCTTCCTCTACAGCTTCCTTACCTCTCTTTCTCTCTTCTTCCGCACTCTTTCTGCTCGTACTTCACACTCTTTTCTTTCAATTTCCTGACCAAACTGTTCTCTTTCTTCTCTCTCCCTCGGCACTCTTTCCACCAGTGCACAAGCTTCTTCCATGTGCTGTTCCAATTCAACCAGGGAGCTATCTCTGGACTCCACTGACTCTGTGCCATGGTTTCTGTTTGAGAATGAATCCTCAGTTTGGCCAGATTGTTGACTTCCTCCTGTATTGATACCAGATATTAACCCAGAGCTTGAAGAATAATGGGCCCTGCTACGTTCTCTATAGTGTCCAGAAGCCAAATGATCACCAGATGTGTAAACTGCAATGCTACTAGAGTTACCCTCACCAGATGTATTCAAAACATCCCTGTCTACTGTGACTGGCAGAAACTGACTACCTCTGCTTAGTTCTGATCCTGACAAAAGCCTGCTGTCAGATCCATTAACCTCTGCATTAGAATTTACCAAGTTGAAGTCAGTGTTCGAACCATTGTTTCCTACAATGTACACTCCACCAGCCTGAGGGGAAAATGAGGAGTGTGGTGAACAATATGGATCTGGCCTTGAAGCAAATTGACATTCACCAAAGTTTAGTTCAGCTTTGTTTGAGTCAATTAAGTTCAACATGCCATCAATATGAATAGCTCCTTGTAATGAAGGATTCTCAGTAAACATCTTCTCTGCATTAGTGTAATATAAATTTTCATGAAGATGTTTGTCCTCGGAGTGTCTTGCTAAGAAAGCATTGGTCACTCCATGAGCCATAGGTCCAGCAACTTGGGGAGGAACTAAATCTTCCAATGAGTAAAACAAAGAAGATCCTGGGGATCTGTCTGTTTTAGAAAGTCTGTCTCTTGGTCTGGCCCCTACATGTTCCCATTTAATTGACTGACTGCCCACTTGAGAATCAGACTGATCTGTTGCTGTATCCTTTTGAGCAGTGATTCTTGAACCTGAAACATTTTGCCTCTGAGTTGTGTTTCCATAAGGAAGAAAATCTTGATTCATACTATCAAAGTCTTCTGGCATAAAACTATCATGGGCTATATCTGGTAAATTAACTGCACCATCTGTGTCATTAAACTGTCGATGTTTAAAATAGAATTGCCTCTCTGCATCATCACAAAAAGAGGAATCATGTGAGCCCTCTTTGTCCCTTTTGCCATTAGGAGCACATGCTCCTTTCAGCTCTCCACCCTCAAATTGTTCACCTGTAACTGAAGGTGACTGAGACCTCACTTGGTACTCCTCTCCAATACTCGTCGCATCAAATGACTGAGACAAGCTTGAGGCTGAGTCACATCTTTCCTTTGACAAATCCACATCTCCTACAAGCCTTGATTCATTCATGATCTCTGGATGAAAAGTATCAGCAACCACTTCACTATTATTGTTAAATGGGTGTAAATTAGAACTGTTGCAAAGTTGGACCTCTCCCTCGGATTTAATGTTGTCAAAAATGTCTTCCCTTTCTTTCACTTCATCAGATAGTTTACCATCAACACTTGAAACACTTTCAGACACTTCATTCTGTTGATTGCTGTCTTGAGGTGGATAGGATTCCCCTCTGTATGATTCATCACCATTGTGAAAAGGTACAGCAAGTTTCTCTACAAGATCAAAACGATGGATTCTTCTCAGAAGATCTCTGACAAAGGAACAGGAAAATTCCCCTTTTTTTTCCAATTCATCAAACAAGTTGGAACCCTCCCTGATTCTGGCAAGTCTGAAGCTATTCAATTTGGGTTGAACAAGAGTTTTGATTCTGCTTAATTCCAATTCTGATAGGGAATGCGAGATCTCTTGAAGTCTTTGTTGAAGCAAGAAACCTGCAAAAGAAAAGGCACACAAAATACAATAAGTATAATATTTTTGTCAGAAGAGCAGGTATTTTTCTCTCATTCATATCAACACATGCATCAGAATAGTATAACAGATGCATGTATACCATAAAAACTTTAAACCAGTTTGAAAATTCTAAACCAGTTTAAAATTTTGAAACCAGTTTAAAAAAAATTAAACCAAAGGTAAAATTTGAACCACAACATATTTTGCATAAATTACCATTGTTTCCTAATGACCCACATTCTTTCTTAAATATCACTTAATTCCCACCCAAGCAATGTCCCGCGTCAATTTCTTCGCAACCTATACTTTTGTGCGGATAGGTATCATTGGTAAGGATGCTGCAAACGTTTATAGTCTTTTGTTCTGATTGGCGAAAATAATAGCAAAATATATTTGGTGATTATGACCATCTATATCCCACTATTTTGAATTTTACTGCAGAAGCCATTTATCACTCAGTGACCTAAAACTGTATATGGTGGGGAAAATTAACAGCAAAATTAGTGAGTCTCAGTAGTCATTTATGCTACAAAGATGCCAAAAAGATTTTGAGTGACTAGTTTGTGATACAAAGTGTGCAATGCAATGTCATGCTTCCATACACATCTGAAAATTGACCAACAAGCATTCAAAATGGTTGGCATGTTTTTTCAGAGTGAACAGAGAAAAGAGTCAGTTGTTGGCCTGGGTTATTTGGACAACCCAGACATTCCATGTGGTTTTATGTTAAATCAAGAAGGTTGTTACCTGATTTGTCTAATAGACCTCTACCATCAGGTTGTTTAAGATCTGCACATGAAAATGCCTGCTGTGCCCCTGTAGCTCTACCATGTTCACTGGAGGGCTCACAAATCTTTTTACAGCGCATTTCTTTGCTTTCTAGAAACAATTGTTTCCCTACTTCAGCTTGAAGATCTTCATTCTTCTCTTCACAGAGCTTTAACTTCTCCTTCAATTGTTTTAATTCTTCTCTTAGTTCATAACATTGAGCTTGGTGGAACTCAACTTCATTTTGCAATTCACAGATAAGGCTGCTATTATTGGTAATGGTGCCTTTACCATTCTCTCTTTCAGCTGTTGCAAATACTTTTAAGATCTCCTGCCTGATATGTTGAACTAGGGTCAAATCTGCAAAAGAGAGAAATCAAAATCATTTAATTCTTCCTTCCACACAATTAATTCACACAATTCAGCACCTTTCCAAAAGAGATGACCTGATCAGCCGCGCAGTGTTATTTTAGTATGACACTCGCAGCTGATTACATTGATGTTCAAAACTGGACAAGAAAAGTCCCCAGTGAGATCTTACAAGGGTTATCTTAAAGCCAAGTAAGAAAGGGAGGAAAGTCATGCAAACTAGAAAGTTGACAATGATACCAATTACTGCTCTGCATGTTTTCAATATTGACAAGAAAATGCCTGAGAATATTTGAAAGCACGAGGTAAAAAGAGTTTAGTATCTAACTAGTCTAGTACTAGGTAGAAACTGTAACTATCTAGGAGACATAAAAATTCAAAAACAAGAAAGTAGCAATTAATTAATCATGTAATCATGCATATTGTGTTAAAATTTTGTTTTCCCAGAATTTGTTAGCCAAAATCTATGAAACATCAAGCAACATGTTTTCCAGTTACCAAATCACCTATAATTTTGCATTGTCAACACCCTTATAGATCTTAGATGCAGCGCCTTCAAAAATGTTCATGGTGAAACCATGAGTCAAAGTTGACTAGTACACACTACAATATCAAAAAAGCTGCCAGTAACAGCTTTCTTAACTGTATTATGCTAGGCACCTCTTAGGATAAAATGATAACATGGGCGAGGATTATCATTGGAAAATAGGGTAGGACGTTAAAAGTAAAAATAAACAGCAACTTACAACCAAAATCTTAAAACGCATATACAACTCATGAAACTGACACTGCTCACTTAATATCAAGTACAATTTTTCTGTAGACATTGAGGGAGGAGCTGCACCTCTTTTTTCCAATATTTTCCAACCAAATGAGGGGTGCACTTAATCTGCTAAAAGATTTGGAAAATGTGCCACAAATTTGCATAGAGTTAAATTTTTAAGGCTGATTAGCAACCTAACAAGAACTTCATAAAAATATACCAAGGTACTTATCGATCATCACTTTTGCAAGTTTGGTGGCTCCTAACAAAGCTGCTTATATATCATGTCCATAAAAATGTGTGTTTAACCTTTTCCATAATAAGAAACTTTTTAACCAGTTGAAGGCCACCTTTGAGTAGCTCGATCAACACTACTCTACAAAGAATTTCCATTCCATTGTAAAGCTGTTTACAGTGTTGCCCATGAAAATGTTTGTGTCAGCAAATAAATGCCTGATCAAATGCCTGGTCACTAAGCTACCAACAACCCAACAAACAAACTAAAGATAAATTCTGACTTGTAGTTTTAATTTAAATGCATTTGAAAATCTGACAGGAATGAATAAAATACTGGCTGACTAACACCAGAGTAAGTTCAAACATAAGTCACTATATTTATCATGTCCATATATACTACCTGATAGTTAATATTATAGGTAAGGATTGAAACTTATGCTGTTCACAATGTTAGAGAGTTTTTGCACATGTACATTTGATAAAGCAACCAATATCAAGCAGGTTTCTCAAGATTGCACCTGTGATTTCTTCTAATTTCTTCTCTAAAACTTTTCTTCCAAACTCAGGATGTGGCTCATCTGTTAGTGTGGTTTAGGAATTTATGGTAGCATAAATGTCAAAAAGCAACTGAAGTAACACTGAAACTTAAGCTGATTGCTTTTGTTACTTTGTGAGCACATTACACAACCTTCTCATAGTAATATCATGACTTTCATAGTGAGTGACGGACATGCACATTGTGGGGATCAGAAAAGTATGGAACACAAGAAATCTATATGTACTTCATATAGTGAGTATTGTATGAAGATTGATTAAAAAGGTTATTTTTGTACCATTTAAGTTACTTATACTTTATATTTCATGACGAGAATTCAAGGATAAACTACTACTACAACTTCAAGGGAAGTGACAGAGATTTCTAAAACAATTTTCTTGGTAAAATTCGACATTTAGCCAACACCACAATCGACTGATTAATATCCAAGTCTACAATTCTACATTTTGTTTATACTGCTATCATCTGCCATGGCTGGTAATGTTCTGCCTCTATTTCCTCCTTTCTCTGTGCATGAGGACAATTCTTCCATAGATCCTCAATGGAAAAAGTGGTTCAAAAGCGGATTTGAAATATACTTGGCAGCCCATGCTGTGAAAAACCCAACTCGGAAATGAGAGCTGTTATATATTATGTTCTGCCAGAGAAGGGAGTGATATATTTGAACACTTCTACAAATTGGGTGTGGGGACCCCAACAACAACATGAAGCACTTGAATCTCTAAAGGCTAGCAGGGTGACACGTCCTGATGTGATGGAATACTTCGACCCACAGCTCAAGTCGGAATAATAGTTGTAGATGCCAGCCCTGTTGGCCTGAATGTCATCACCAATGCAAGTGGTTCACTCACTGACTGCGAGAGTTGCTACAGCCAAATCAAGAGAGAGGACCTGGCAACAGTGTGGGTTAATTGTCAAACACTTCCACTTTTACCTTCATGGATCAACCTTGCAGATCATTACAGACCACTGGAAACAATTTTCAACAAGCCCACCTGTAAAGCAACTGAAAGATTGGAAAGGTATAAATACAGCTGCACCTACAGCCATAAAAATTCAGAGTTGTTTACAGACCTGGAAAGTGTAGAAAACCCTGCAGACTACATGAGTTGTCATCCCGTACATAATTCGACAATTAGTAGCTCTTGAAACATTGCATCATCAGACAGTCCCTGACTTGCTCACAGTGGCCATCAAGGTGTGGTTAAAACAAAGTCCCTGCTGAGAGAAACTATGTGGTTCCCTGGGATGGACAAGATGGTTCAGGAGAGGATCAGTCAATGTATACCATGCCAGACAGCTAAATATGTCTCCTCTGCCACATGGTCCTTGGCAGGAACTTTCCGTTGATTTCTGTGGTCTTTTCACTAATGGCGATTACTTACTGGTACTAGTAATTGATGACTATAGCAGGTATCCAGAGGTAGAAATTCTGAAGTCAACCTCAGTTAAGGCAGTAATTCCCCATCTTTGCCAGGCAAGGGATTGCAAATGTGGTAAGAACAGACAACAGTCCTCCTTTTGACAGCCAGGAATTCCAGCTAGCTAGTCCTTCTCTACTCACTTTGGATTCAGACACCACAGAATGACATGGGCATGGCCGAAGGCCAATGGAGAGGCAGAGAGACTTATGCAAACCCTTGAAAAAGTCATAAGGATTGCTACCATTGAATATAAGAGTTGGAGGCAAGAGCGTTTCACTTTCCCGCAACATTACAGAGCAACTCCCCATGGTACAACAGCAAAGTCACCTTCCAAGCTTCTTCATGGAAGGAAATTGAAATCTATATTGCCTATGCTGATCAAGCATTAGAGCAGGACTCACCAGAAGTCAGGCAGACAGATGTTATAAACAGAAAGAGCAGATAAAAGTGTATGTAGATAAGTGTCACCATGCAAATTAAAGCTTCTGATCTAAAGGTTAGTGACAGAGTACTGATCAAACAACCTAAACAAAACAAGATGTTAACACCTTTCAACCCATAGCCTCTTGAGATAACAGAGAGAAAAGGGGCTATGGTAACAGCTCAGAATGCAGAGAGATCAGTGACAAGAAATGCGTCATTCTTCACCAAGATTCCTTCAAACACACATGCATCAACAATGAGCAGTGGTGATGATGATTGTGAGAACTGTCTGACTCAGGATATGAGCAATGCTGAGTCAGATGTGAATCCAAGGAGATCATCACGCATCAGAAGAACTCCAGACTATCTGAAGGACTATATCACATAACTATTAATCAGAACTGTGTGCAGACAATGACTTGGACTTAATTATGAACTTGGTATTAGTTGATATTTGTCATATTTTTGTTAGCTGTTTTTGTTAGAAGAAGGGAGGGATGTAAAATCGTAACTTTCACATTGCATGACAGACATGCACAGCGTGGGGATCCGAAAAGTACAGAACAAGGAATATGTATGCACTCAGCGAGTATTATATGAAGTAACAAAGGCTACTTTTCTGCCATTTAAGTTACTTATATTTAATATTCACAGGCTTTCAGATTCTTAAAGAAGAAATTAAAACAGCAGTCTGAGATGCAACTGTTTTCATTACCATGACAATTGCAAAATTTTGCAGAAAAAATTGCAGATTAGGTGACCTTGCTTGATAATCATACTACAAGCTGTAACACTTTATCACTTAGAACACATAATTTTCTTGAGAGATAAAAACTCAAAATTTGCAGGAGGTCTTACTTAAAATAGTACAAAACATCTACCTCTGTGAAGGTGTAGTCTGATCGTCCGGGTGAGTGTAGTCCTGAGAAGGACTGTTGTCGGTGGCAGTGACTGACGTTTCGACAACCTGTGCGGAAGTCATCATCAGAGTCAAGTGAGTGATTGTTGTCAGTAGAATGTTCTTATTCCAGTTCGTGTGAAATGATCGGTTGGTTTTGCCGTGATGTTATTGGCTGTAAGACTCAAGTGACGTAAGTCGTTCGTGATTGGTCTGTTTCGGTCTGTCGGTAAAGCTAGGTTGTTCTTTTTCGGTCGTTTGTGATGTTTATGTCGTGAATGAGTCGTTTGTATGGGGCGGGTAGTTGTTGACATCTGTTTAGGGGAGTCTGTTCTAAGTTAGTAAACCAGCTTTCCAGAGTCAGTCGTTGAAAATAGTCAGTGCTGTAGGTTAGGCATTGCGCAGAGTCCCAGTCAATGTTGTGGTTGGTAAGTCGATGGTGTTCAGCAATGTGATTGCTGACATCACCTTTCCTCGTCGCCCGTCTGTGTTCAGTCAGTCTTGTTGTGAGGTTTCTGCCAGTCTCACCGATGTAGGAGGCTTGGCAGTCGGAACAATTGATCTTATAAATCGTTCCCTGTCTGTTCCTCGGTTCGTCTTTGTCTTTAACGTTGGTTAGTAACTGACGTAGTGTGGTGATGGGTTTGTGGGCGACGCGGATATTGAAGGGTAGTAAGATGCGCGAGATGTTTTCAGACATGCCTTTTATGTACGGTATGGTTGCTGTAGTCGTAGGGGTTGCGGTGTCGTTTGTTTCGGTAGTGGTAGTGGGTCGGTGAGTGTTTCGTCGGATGAAGTCGTTGTTGTAGTTGTTCTTCGTAAAAACACGGTGAAGGTATTTGTTCTCGTCGGATAAGCTGTCTGTCTACCTCTCCTTTCTTTTTTTCTGGCAACCATAGAGTTGCCTATCATGTCCCCAAACGAAAACTTTAAAAGAATTGAGATTAGAGCCTTTCAGGGTTTTTAATTTCCCAAGATTCAGATGCAAACATGGCACAAGCTTTAAACTGTCAACAAGCCAAACTACCATGGTGGCTAAAGACAATCACTTCATTGTTATCTAAAAAAAAGTGTATTAATGAACTCTAAGGTTTACAGCAAATACAAATATAATAATAATAAATAATAACAAATATTTGTAAATACAAATACAATAATTAAAAATATTTGATAATGTTAGTTATTATTAAATAAATAATACAAATACAAATATCCATTGGCCTATGACATCTGAAAAAGAAGTTAACCAAAAAGAATAGACCAGAAGGAAAGATTGCAAAAAGGCCAGAGATTTGAAAGTTATGCCTGCTCAGATATTAATCTTGGCAAAGCGCTATATTTCTATAACGTAATGCTAGGCTAACTTCCAAGTGAGGAGATTCATTGCATTTCACTTGGTAACCACATACAGTTCCCATGAAATAGCCTGTTTTCACTCAAATCTGTCAGAGCTATTGTAGTGCATTTAGAAGAATGACAAATTACAAACTAAATGTTGGCAGAACTCTGTAATGGACATCAACAATTCATCATTTCAAAAGGTCAGGCAAAATCACTTTCATAATGTGGCAACAAATGAAGAAATTTCACCATTGGAAAGTTAAGATCTAAAGGTAATAAGGCCAAAAATTGGAATATAACTGCATGTCATTAGAAATGAAATTACCGTGGTAACATCACTGATCTAAAAACTGACACCAAAAACAGAAGTCTTGTTACAATGTTAGCTGAACTGGTGAATCTCCGGAAGGAAAACTTTGAGATAAATTATCTCTTTAGGTTTCCTCTTATAACTCCCTCTCTGCAGAGTGAAGGAGGGGGGGAAGGTTATTCATTAATACTCTGGGGAGTCAATGTTAAAACTTTAGTTTCTTGGTTCAATAAAGTAGATCTTGTTCGAAGTACATGGATACTAAAAGACGTACATCAAAAAGTACCAATGTATATAAAAATTGAGTACACCAAACACTATATTACATGATTATGTTGAATGAATCATCACCAACCTCCTTTTTCTATTTTATGACTGCAGTCAACTCCAGCCCATTCCATAATCTCTCTGACAATCTCTGTTAATTTTTCAACAGGAGGTGCCATCTAAGAAATCAATGACATCAATAGACAACTATTCTGTCATATAAGTTTTTCACATTTCACAAGTATAAAATCCTTATTCACTGTAGTTTTCAAAGACCATGAAACTATCACACAGTATCTAACAAGTGACACATTCCTTTGGATTGGTAATGTGATGATCTCCTTAAAGCCTCAACATCTCCCCTCCCTCCCCTCCCCCCACCCTGAGAAACCTACATGTATTGAACTGAATTCCTGCTTTGGGATGGGGAATTTGAACCTTGCATGGGCGGGGTGGGGCATTTTAACCAGAAGTGTTCAGACTTTCCACCGTAAAACATGTTTTAATGGAATAGTTTAAAGGTGGAGAGTCTAATTTCACGAGAAACTGGCTTAGAAAGACAATTCTACATAGTACAGTGATGATTACAACCCAAAAGCCTAACAACAGCACCAACATGCAACTTTGGTCATTTTTACAACATTCGTTGTAAAAACGAAGAATCTTTGAATATTGTTTAGCGCATTCGAATGCACTTTAGCCACATCAGCAAATCTTCAAAATATCAAATGCCCAAAGGATTGCCCCCAGCAGGAGGCAGGGACATCAAAGCTTCAAATTTATCTGGAATAATGATAATTTAATATAATATTGTGTAAATTAACATTGGGATATAGAATATTCCATTACATTGGAGTACCTGTCTGGAAACTCTAAATAAAAATTTTAGTTATATATTTCATTGATGGCATCCATCATCCTTGAATGTGAAACCCCGAAAACCATAAAGAACAAAACTATTTTGTTAATATCAATATCATTCTGTTTGGGGAAAGAGCCCACCATATAATTTAGGTGTGCACAAGCAGGGCTGTGGTCTAGCAGCACCCAGGGGCCCTTTGCACCTTACTTTTGCTCTTGGGTGACTCAGGAATCTTAGTTTTCTTATAGAAAGCATAAACTGGACACCGTGGATTTCAAAGTTTCAGAGCACTGGGCTCCCTTCAATTTTTCTTAGAACACAGCCTTAACGAGAATTTAATAAAATTGTTGCCTCTTTACCTTCGATTGTTAACTAGGTGTTTGTTATGATTCAAGACAGTCGGTCTGGGTACTCCTTGCAAGATAAAAGCGTTCCAATATCAGGTTACCTAAAATATGATTACCGGTAAGCACACACTTAATAAAATTATTTTGATCATCGTCAGTGGATCAGGTCTAAAGGACACATTTAAGAATATAATGATAATCGAAGTACTTCTCTTCGCAGGTAAATCCGCATTCAGTGTGTTGATTGTTTCTAAGCTTTCCATTCACCTCTGATGTCTTTCGGTGCTTATAATGCTCATTCTTCTTAGGTGTGTGGATTATGCCAAACGATTTCATAAGATTAAATAAAGTTTACTCACCCAAGTCTAGGTTCTAAAATTAAATCTGTATGAATGAACGGGTGATAAATAATATCATTTACACCGAAGTTCGATGACACTCTCGGTGCCAATACGAAGTCAAAGATATTATACATTTACCATTTTCAGTAGTGTTTATGACTACAACGAACGTGTTTAAACAATTTTAGTTCAATTTGTACGCTTTACTTACCTATGATTGACATCATGTGAAAATGATGTAATTCGAGACCTTGTGGTGTTGTTGCTGTTGTTTGGTTTTGGTTTTAGTCGCCATTTTTGTTTAATGTAAAGATTCGTTTGGAATCTACGGTGGCTCTCAAGGGCCATTCACCTACAAAAATTTTCATGACTTTATCGCGCGATAAGTGTTGCTAAGTCCATTCATTCAAAAAATTTGCAATCAACATTATCGCGCGTTAGATAAACGTATCGCGCGATAGAACTACTTATCGCGCAATAGAACAACTCATCGCGCGATAGAGTGTTCTATCACGCGATAGAACAACTTATCGCGCGATACAACAACTTATCGCGCGATAGATCAACTTATCCCGAGATAGATAACCCATTGACACTTACGTGTAACACGTGCCGACGAAAAGTCAAAATTTTGGAGAAACCAAGAAGGCAAACACAATGCGCAGTAAATTTTTAAAAATCAGCTGTGATCGAAGCCAGGCGGCTGTTCGTGTCCTCAGTAAAACGTTGAAACGTTTGTGGACATCACAGTCCTTTTTAAACAAGACACACCGACCGAAGCAATCGGCTTGGTAACCTCGTCATGTTGCCAAACTAAGACTCGCAGCGGGGTACTAGACCTCAACTTGTCAACAAAACTTCTTGTAAAACCCGGGGTCCCCTCAGGTTTAGTACCCCCGCGAGTCTTGGTTTGCCAACATGACGAGGTTACCAAGCCAATTTCAACAGTCGTTGTGTGTGTGTCGTGTTTAAAAAGGACT